GAATATGAATCAGTGTATCAGCATGAAGATGGAACTTCTTGATGAAGGCAGAAACTTTTATCATGGTCATCAGAAAAGGTTAGTGTTTCTATAAACCTACCGTACCAGCTCTTACCAGCTTCTCAGGAATTTCTTCCAATACTGGATAGTTGATTGGTGAATCAGTAATAAAGCATTTTTTCCTTTTATGTACTTTACGAATACTGAATTGTCAAATGTGAAAGTGTATAAAAATGGCTGAAAACGAACTTATTTTTGACTTTTAGGGGAAGCAGGATGCCTCCATTGCTCTCTCACTGAGAACTTCCTACTTCTTCCCATATCCTTCTCACCCACTGAATCAACATCTGTGCAGCAGTTGCAACTCAAGAGCTCTCGCATGCTTGAGAACTTGGACATCTCCCTTCAGATTCCCACATGGAGCTAGAATAAAGACAGGACATATGGAAGAAAACAGAGAAGTATTCCTGGGACTTAAACTTTTCTTGCAGAACATAAAATCCCATGGATTATTGCGCACCTGGGCTGAAGAATTGGTGTTGTGTTTCAGAAATGGAAGTAAATGTAGATTTGTACGTTGCTAAAAAAAAGTAGCAAAATGCGGGGCGAATAGTAGCACAGCTGTATTTGAATGGGTGGCATGAGGACATGAAGGATGGGATGGAATCTACACTTGCACCTGAAGCTCAGCACCCTACAAGGAGGATAAAAAGAAAGCCAATAGGCTCATCATCTTCATCATCGTTTTCCATACCCAAAGTCTGCAGAGCTTACAACAGGCTTTCACAGAGGTCTAAATTGTGTCAGAGCTTTGTTGGGAGCCAGCTTCGCATCTGATTTGAAGAGCACTAGTAAGTATCTAGTCCAAGGGTTCTCAAACTGGGGGTCGTAACCCTCAGGGGGTCACCAGGTTATTACATGGGGGGTCGCGAGCTGTCAGCCTCCACCCCTAAACCCCGCTTTGCCTCCAGCATTTATAATTGTGTTAAATACAAAAAAGTGTTTTTAATTTATAAGGGGGGTCGCACTCATAGGTTTGCTGTGTGAAAGGCGTCACCAGTACAAAAGTTTGAGAAACACTGATCTAGTTCATTGCTCAGAAAGTCCGGAGAGTTACAAAGAATTGTTTTGCAGAGACGGGGTGTTAAATGAGCTGAGAAGTTGGCAGGGAGCCTTAGATGACCTGAGCACAGAATGCTGCATGTAGAAGGTGCAAGGACAAGGAGCAGTGAGAAATTTGAACTTGCAGTAATGAAACAACTGCTGTGTAGCTACCACGTTAGTTCTCCTTGATAGCAAGAATAAGACCTAAGGAAGAAGTGCAGAGTTAAGACAACCCAAATTAGCATCAAGACACATCCATTCAATACACTGTATGTAACCACACTTGGGAGCAGGGATGAAGGAGATTTGAGGCTTACTTTCGCCATACTACACCCCATGCTTATCTTTCCTTGCCCTCACATGGAACCAGTCTCCACTTGTGCTACACCGCTGAAGGATTTACGGGATCAAGGCCTGTGTCTCTTCTCTTTTTAGGATGCTAAAAGAAATGAAAGGTAGAAAAACACAGTTGAGTCTGCCATGAGAAACCACTCACACAACTAAATATCCCACAGTACCACGAGAGTTGCAAACACTAGTTTTAACTGAGGCTTCCATCTTTCTTTTCTAGGAATGTTGGGGTTGGAAATGATCTGGTTTCATCCCCATCTGTATCGTCCACTCCCCATCTTTGTTTTTTTGGTTTTAGTTTTAAAATAAATAAAATGCAAATACAAAACCAATGGACGCTGTGTTCATTCCTTGATTAGTGAGTATCAGATCAGGGCTGTGCCCGGCAGTAACTGTCATACAAATGCACCTGCAGTTTACAAATGAATGGCGTGAAAAAGAAACTGGGCCATTTCCTACTTGCGCTGAACTCGGTGGCAAAATTCCTACTGAGGTCGGGGGAACAGGACTGCGCTCGTTAGGTCGCGAGTAGACCTGCCCTATCTGAACTCTTCACTTCCTTCTAGGGTACATTTCATAGAATCATAGAATATCAGGGTTGGAAGGGACCTCAGGAGGTCATCTAGTCCAACCCCCTGCTCAAAGCAGGACCAATTCCCAACTAAATCATCCCAGCCAGGGCTTTGTCAAGCCAGGCCTTAAAAACCTCCAAGGAAGGAGACTCCACCACCTCCCTAGGTAACGCATTCCAGTCCTTCACCACCCTCCTAGTGAAATAGTGTTTCCTAATATCCAACCTAGACCTCCCCCACTGCAACTTGAGACCATTGCTCCTTGTTCTGTCATCTGCCACCATTGAGAAGAGCCGAGTTCCATCCTCTTTGGAACCCCCCTTCAGGTAGTTGAAGGCTGCTATCAAATCCCCCCTCATTCTTCTCTTCTGGAGACTAAACAATCCCAGTTCCCTCAGCCTCTCCTCATAAGTCATGCGCTCCAGACCCCTAATCATTTTTGTTGCCCTCCGCTGGACTCTTTCCAATTTTTCCACATCCTTCTTGTAGTGTGGGGCCCAAAACTGGACACAGTACTCCAGATGAGGCCTCACCAATGTCGAATAAAGAGGAACAATCACGTCCCTCGATCTGCTGGCAATGCCCCTACTTATACAGCCCAAAATGCCGTTAGCCTTCTTGGCAACAAGAGCACATTTGAGGTTGCATCGGTAGTAGAGCTCTTTTGGTATGGAAAATTCTTAACAGTGAGGGAGTGGATCTTTCATAATTCAATTCGAGTGAAAACATAGACTACTGAAGATGTGTGCCCATAACCTCTCACTGGCCTTGCCTGTGAGGTTGAATAACTTTGTAAACATTGGGCCTTTTCTGCTCAATCCATGAGAAAAATCACATGGAGAGGTGCCAATTTACCATTGCCCTGCAACTGGCATCTTCATTCACCAATGCAAACTGGGTGCTTGATGTTACCAAATTAGTATGGTGTCATTTTACACCCACTTTATAAATGACACAAGATGAATTGGGCTCATTGCAGTGAGAGTATTGTGTGTGGAGTGACTGCCATATCAGACACAAAGAGGAATCTGACTCTAAGGGATAAGTGAAGTGTCTGTGATCACTGATATTCCAACTGGATTTCTGACCTGAATAGAATGGTAATACATCGCATTTACTATGAACTTTGTATGTGTACCACTGAGCAATAATGTGTCTCTTTCTGGTTCTGTCTTGGTTTGGAATCTCAAGCTCTTCATTTGAGTAAATGAGTCACCTATGAACATGTTTTTTCTGCTGAAAGGTGTGGTGTTCTTTCTAACTCTCCTCTTTGGCACAATTACCACTTCTTTCAGCTCTTTGCACATTTGCTGAGGACTGTTAAATTATGTTAGACTTTGCACCAACAAAGTATAAAGTGCATCTCAACAATTTTCTTGGTAGTGCTAACAAATTCCAGCATATGTCTCCACCCAAACATACCCTTTCCTTCTCATTTACCATATGATTGTAATCAACAGGCTTGGTGCTCCATACCTCCATTATAACAGTGATGTCATAGAAAGGTAATAAGGGCCAGATTTATTTTATTTTGAATTTTAGCTGATATGTTTGTATTCCCTGAAATGCTGCATTTACAAAATCTTGGCCAGATGTAAAATATAAGTATTCTGAGACACGTGTCATGCATTGTAAACCGAAACTGTGATTCAACTTAATGAATCAACATTCATGACCATGGCATGAATGCTGCTTTACTTACAAGGCCTTGTAATCCAATATAAATAGATCTCTTTTTATGACAACACTGAGTTCAATATCTAGCCCCTGTGATGAAGCAGTACAAAAACTCAGAGGTCAAAATAACTATAACTTTGGCAACTATTTAAAGAAGTAAACTCTGTTTTTTTCCAACTGACGTATGACAGATGTTGCTAAATTTTAAAGGAAGCACTTTCTCAGTGTTTTCCCTTAGGCCATTAATACTGCTTTGAAATGTGTGCCAAGATGATGTAAAAAGATTTCATACTTTCAAAGTTGTTCTCAGAGTCTGTGTTGAAGATTAGCATGCTAATCTACATCTAGAAGAGACATCCATTTTAGTCAATCAGAGCTTAGAAAATTGTGTCTGATTTGTTTGCTGTTCAGTGATTTTACACAATGGTAAGAATCTTGTAATCTGGGAAATAAATTTGTGTGATTCAGCCATTATGGAAATGGCTACAGACTCCTCAATATGCTGCTAATTCCACTGTGGCCTGCAGAAAACAATTGGAAAGAACCACACAAGGAACCAGCAATTCCAACACTGCTCCCAGTGTCTGTCTATGCTGGACTCTGTCACCACAATGACACAGCAGCACACCACAATACTAGCAATCAGGCTGGAGACCCAACATGGAAGTTTGCTGAATTGTAGAATCAAGATATCCCTCTGCTCCATTCATCATTCCTTATTATTGATGATGACTGGCCTGCTATGGCTCCTGTATTAGTGCAAGATTCAGCTATTTTCAATTTATTTGTCTTCTCTACAACATGAGAGCCGAGGAAGTGGGGAATCGATTGAGTTTAGTGGGGAATGATTGTGGGTGCCCTGTCTCAAAAGGCCTGATCCATTCATGGTAAAGGCAATGGGAATCTTTCCATTGACTTCAGTAGAGTTGGGCCAGGCCCACAGTTTTAACCAGTCTTTGCATAATTCAGCTGATTGATACATTATAAACAAGGCCATTGTTAGAACAAACCTGGACATTTATGTGGCTTGTTTGTCTACCACATTTTACAATAATTAGTTGCAAAAACAAATTGAGGATGGCTGTAATTTGACTTTAATTTCTCCAGCCCCACTTCTGGATTTAGACAGCTTTTTGTATGCTAGTATAGATTACTACAGCTATGAGAATATGGCTTGTGCAAAAAATTTACATAAAAAGCATGTTCTGCAAGCCACAGTTCCTTCGAAAATATCCCTGGCAGTTGCACAATTCTTATTTGCCTTGATTTTGTAATTTGAAATGCTTTTTTATGTAGGTTCCCCGAGATACAGCAGCCCCGGCTCAGTAAAACTCTTCGCACGCTGGCTTTTGCATATCCGTACCTGTTCGACAGCACCCCTCTCTTCTACAGGGTATGCACTGAACATTCAACTTTTATTAAGATGCCATAAAATACATTGGCTTCCTGCAGTGAAGTAACTATCGGCTATTAACATGAGACTGAGTGTATTTAGGAAAATATACAGACTTGTTTTTAAAAAGAAAATTATATGAGCTAGAAAACAGTGTTTGGCTATTTTTAGCAAATATTTGTTGATGTACAGATTATGCTCAGTACAGGGGCACTCAAACATATTGGCAATTTACCATGAGCCCAAAAGCTGCCCTTGGCCCAATTCTTGGATGTCAGTGGGAGTTCTGCCTGAGTAAGGTCATCAGTATTTGCACCCTAATTTGCATAAAATAGTGATGATTGCATCTGCTCTCATATCTACTACTGGGCTCTGCCCACAGTGTTCCCGATCCCAGCGTACAATAATCCAATAAGTGGCCACTTTTAGTCCTCATACTAAGATGGCTAGTAGTCAAAGATGGCAAAGCCTCATCATCTTGGTATATAGGGCTACAGGGATAGGTGGTGTGTTCTTTGGAAACACGCGACAGACAGACAAGAAAGCCCTGTTATAGAGAGAGAGCTTGGGCTTGATTCTCCACTGTGTCCCAGCATGGAGGGCACAGGAGCTGACTGAGGCTATCTGATTCCCAGCCACAGTCTAAACTGAAGCTCCATGAAAAAGGCTTTAACTTACAACACTGGCATAAGGGCCCTTAGGGACCTTACACCAGTGGCGAATAAGACTCAGATAGAACCACGCCCACTTCATTGTTGATCCCACCCATGCCCCAATGTATGAATGCCCCTGCCCCAGCCCCACTCTCAGCTTACACTGGAAGTGAAGAAGTGGCTAGCACGGGGGGCAGGGGAACTGCCTATGCAAGCTTTCTGCTAGTGGAGCGTTCTGCTGTGTGGGGTGACTACTCCACAAGACGCCTCTAGCCGTTTTATGAGGCCAGGGGACCTTAGCATAGCAGCAAATCTGGCCCCAATCTAGAGGTATTCTTCAGTAGTTCTCTAACTTTCCTTTTCTTGGTACCCCATGTGTAATTTTTCCTTTTGATATCACAGCTATATCTGTGTACTGGGGAAAGCTGCATGGAAAGCGTAATCCCAGTCCACTACAGGCACTGTGTGTTTGCCTTCCTCACTTGTTTCATTTTTGCTGCACATTTGCCTGAGAGACTTGCACCGGGACGCTTTGACTATATTGGTGAGTGCAGAACACTGTGATTCTTGTCTTTGCTATTTTTTATTTCCAGCATTTAAGAGCACAGAAGCTTGGGCATCTCATGAGGGATATAATATATCCGGAGCAGAGTAAATGGTTCATATCAGGAAAATGCATTCACTGTTTCACACTCATGGTTAGAGTAGCCATGCATAGTTGTGTAAGAAGCCATCTCCAATGACCTGTTGTTTCAAGAAGTATCATAGAATCTTTAATGACCACAAAGTGGTTCTTTGCCATCCAAAAATCTATACCGGGGTAGGCAACCTATGGCACGTGTTCTGAAGGCGGCACGCGAGCTGATTTTTCAGTGGCACTCACACTGCCTGGGTCCTGGCCACCAGTCCGGGGGGCTCTGCATTTTAATTTAATTTTAAATGAAGCTTCTTAAACATTTTAAAAACCTTATTTACTTTACATACAACAATAGCTTAGTTCTATATTATAGACTTATAGAAAAAGATCTTCTAAAAACGTTCAAATGTATGACTGGCACGCAAAACCTTAAATTAGAGTGAATAAATGAAGACTAGGCACACCCCTTCAGAAAAGTTGCCGACCCAATCTACACCATCGTGCCATGCTACACAGTACTGAGTTGAAAGAAAGACTGACTCATCAGTACTACTTCTTGCAGCACACAGGTGTTTCTTGGTGGTCTCCCATCCAAGCAGTGATCCAGCCAAGTTCTACTTAGTTTGTAGTCTCTGGCAGAATCACAGCACAAGGCAGAGCTTCAGTTTATGATAAGCAGGGATTCAGTGAGTTTCCAGATGGACAATTGCCTTAGTTTAGCAGCATCACAATAAGAGCCATATAAATTAGTAAAATAAATAAACTGAATTTTTGCACATAAGATTTTCAAAGCTGTTAGAGGTGTATTTTAATGAAACCCAGAGAAATTTCTTGTTAAATATTTTGACTCTGTTGCAGGGCACAGCCACCAGCTTTTCCATGTATGTGGGATCATTGGCACACACTTCCAAATGGAGGCCATCTTTATAGACATGAACGCTCGCCGTGACTGGCTCTTAGCTTCCTCACCTCTTCTCTCTTTCTCTCAAACAGTTGGTTCAATTGGTATCTCCATTATCATTAGCCTAACTATCATTGGGGCTTTCTCACTGGCTCTCTATTCAACACCAAAGTCCTCTAGGACAGAAAAACTACATCGGCATTAAACTTTAAGTAGAGATTGGTTTTTAGTTACATTGCTGCAAATGAGAAATACCAAGTAACTTTAGTACTGGATCAATGAAGGTGATGAGAGATTTTGATGAAGGTTTTTCTTGGGGAAGATACTCACTCAAGGGGTTTTCAAGAGTGAACCATTTTATAGTGCACTGCTTTTTGTACATACGACTTTAAAGTTGGAGACAGATTGTGAAATGGTTTAAAATCGGGTCAAGTTGATATTTTAGCATGAAATTATTTAGAAAAAAATGAAAACATTGTAAAAGGGAGAAGTGTCATGTTTTGCAAGCCAGTATTTGAGGGCAGATTTAATCCAAATGATGAAACTCACTGTGATACCATCTTCTAAGTCAATGGCCATTTATCTGTGTTGATTTCAGTTGACTGCTTTAGGGAGAAACCAGGAAACTTGATTATTTTGATTATAACATGATGGTACATTGTGCTTATGTCAGTTCATAGGCATAAGTGTCTATATTTTATATATTTAATACGTGGGGTAACATCTCGATCCAGGACAGGCTCCAGGGTTTTTGCCGCCCCAAGCGGCGGGGGGAAAAAAAAAAAGACGCAATTGCGATCTGCGGCACTCCGGCGGCAGCTCCACTGCGCCGCTTTCTTCTTCGGTGGGAATTCGGCAGCAGGTGCTTCCCTCCGAGAGGGACCCGCCACCGAATTGCCACGGAACAGCCCGACATGCTGCCCCTTCCCCTTGGCCGCCCCAAGCACCTGCTTGCTGGGCTGTCTTGATCCTACTGAAGTAAATGGCACTTTTGCAACAGACTTCAATAAGAGCCAGGATTTCACCCTAGAATCCTAGTGTCCCTAGGACTGGGCCTTTCAGTTCTTCCCTAGGGAGATTATTCCAGTCTGAGTTCACTGTTAGTATGTTTTTCCCATATTCAGTCTAAATTTCCTTAGCCTGATTCTGCACTTGTTTACGGCTTGATCAGTTGGTGGGTGTTTTTCCATTGAGTACAATGAGCTGTAATTCAGGCTCTTATATCAGTCTTACATTGGGGTAGTTTCACTGACTTCAGCAGTTACACTCCTCTTTTACAATAATGTGAATGAGAGGAGCATCAAGCCTCCATTGCTCCTAATTAAAACTCCCCCCAGTATGCACCTGCTGTAGCAGACACCTCACTGAAAGACTATCACTGAGAAGCCATCAAAATTGCAATCTGGGGTCATAAATTTTGGCTTGGAAGCAGGTGGCACCCTGCGATTGGACCGACTTGCACTCAGCTGGTGACCAGAGAGGTACTAGGCCAGGTTATAATGTCCGTTAGAGTATTTCACTACTGTTTTTTATACATAGGAGTGGTACTCAAATGTCTCAGGCTTTGAGGTTATCTGTGACTTGATTGCATATTGGATTATATGCAATCTTATTGGAATATGATATTTTTATTAGGTACATAAACATGTAATGCAGAAAATTACAATGAGATTATCAAGCTTCCTGATAACTGTATGGGTTTATTATATGTTTTGTAAATAGTAGCCTCCATCGAGGTGTAATAGATGCACTTTGGGTTGACAGTACAACAAAATCTTTAAATATATTCTGGGAAAAAAACAACTTGGAAATGATCTTACTTTCTTCTGAAAGCTGATCAAGATTTCTATTAACATTTATTAGCACTGGAACATCACGTTTTTATCCAACATTTTATTTAATTAAAAAAAATCATAACTATGACAAGAAAAACGCTAATATGTGCTGCTGATCTGTTTATCTTGTCTTTTAGTATAACTGGGAAAGAGTCTGGCTTTGGTTGCAAGAAGTGATTTAAGATTCTACAGCATTAATTAATTAATCTGGAACTTCCTTCTCAGTTGGTAGTCTAACTTTTCAGATTCAATAAGTCCCATGTTCTGTGACTATTACCTAATTATGGATGTGTAACTTCAAATATGCAGTGGTTCATAGGAGAACTACCTGTAAAACAACACATTTCTGTTTGACATGATAGTCTGCTCCTTCATCCTTCTAGACCCTACAGTAGGGTCACATGGGGATCTGGTCTGACGCTTACACATTTTAATAGAGCAAATTAGTTGAGTGTCATTCCAACATTTTCTGATCTTGAAACATCATATGGAAAGAGAAGCCAGATTCATTATAATGTGAGATACACATTCAAAACCATACCATGAATTAAGCTATACAGATGTAAAGAAATAAAGTCTATTTATGAAGAATTGGTCTTGTCATAGTATTACATGTGAAGATGCCAGAATAACTGTTTGTTTCCTTCAGCCTCTCTACCATGTCTGTACAGTACTCCAAACACAGAGTCCTACAACCTGAAGGGCAATCTTTGGCCTATCCTGCCCCAAACACTGACCTTAATTTGCATCCTCTTCATCAGACCCCCAGCTAAGAAATAGGCAAAGCCCTTCAACTTTAAGACCAAATCTAGAACATTATTTCAGTTATATATTTCAATTCAGTGGTACTTTATTGGCATGGCAAGCTCTACACCTCTTAGGTCCAATGTTCTCCATCTCCACCCCACTGATGATCAGGAGCTATTGAATGTATTACTTAATGTTGGGGGAAAACTGGGGCATAAATGAGGGCTAACTGGCTGAGACTCAGGGCTGGTCTACACCCAGCCGCTAGTTCGGCGGCTGGGGATCGAAGTTCCGGGTTCGATTTATCGCGTCCGGTCTGGACGCGATAAATCGAACCAGGAAGTGCTCGCCGTCGACTGCGGTACTCCAGCTCAACGAGAGGAGTGCCGCGGAGTCGACGGGGAGCCTGCCTGCCGCGTCTGAACCGCGGTAAGTTCGAAGGAAGGTATGTCGAATTCAGCTACGTTATTCACGTAGCTGAATTTGCGTACCTTACTTCGACTTGGGGGGTAAGTGTAGACCAAGCCTCAGTTCCCATAAGACTGAGGTGATGTTGGTTGATTGACAGAAGCAGTCAGAAGAGACGGGTGGGTTATTTCTGCCCACTGACCGAGCGGTGGTTCTGGCCTTTCGTGGCCAGGGTTTGCACTCTACAGAGCAATCGGATCCTGGCTGTTGCTAGAAGATCAGGTAGCGGCTGTAGCCAAGTTAGCCTTTTTTCCATCTAGGGAGAGCTAGGAGGTAATAGCCCCCCCCCCTTTTTTTTTTTTTTTTTTTTGGATGCAGGCCATGCAACTGTCCCCCACGCCTGTGTCACCTTGAGATCAGACACTGGAGTACGCGCTACATATTTAATCTATCAGGATTTGGCAGCTCTCTCTTTAAGCAATCTCTCTCATAGGGGCTCCTATTACCCCCCACCCCTGTGCTGATGTTTCACACTTGCTGCCTGGTCACCCTGGGGGCTGCCTGCCCCGCGCCGCCCGGCTACGCTGAGTCCCCGCTCGGCTGCACAGGCCCCTCTGGGACCCGGCCTCCTCCCCTCGGGCCTTGTCCACCCACCTGGAGCCGGGGCGGTATTGTCGGCGTCTCCATGGTGACGACGATGGTCCGTGACGCTCCGGCGCGCAATACGCGTTGCGTGGCGACGCTCGCCGAACGGCGCCCTCTGATTGGCCGGATTTGAATCACAGCAGCGCGCGGGCCGATGGGAGCGGAGGGAAAGTTCAAATCGAATGATCACTAAGTGAGAGAGAGACCGAGACCCCCCTGCCAGCACCGCCCAGGCCGCGACAGAGCGGCCCCGCCCGGCCACCGTCCCGGGACCCGACCCCAGCCCGCCCGGCCACCGTCCCGGCACCCGAGAGCGGCCCCGCAGCGAGGGAGCGGCACCATGAAGGCGGCGTGAGTATGGGGCGGGACCCCCCCCCAGGCCCGGCCCTACGGCCGGGGCTCTCGGGTCACCGCCCTCCCCCGGCCAGCCCGGCCCGCTTGCCCCGCTCGAGGCCGGCGGCGGGTCGAAATGCCCCAGCGATGCCGGTGGGTTGAGCCGCTCGCCGAGGCCCCGATCCAGCCGCCCCGCCGAGGGGGAGGCGTGTGGGGGGGGGCCCCTCTGGGGCCTTGCATGGAGAAAGTCACCCCCTGTCCACCCCCTCCCCCGGCAAGGGTCCCGCGTGTGCAACCAGCGTTGGAGGGGGCCGAGCACCGGGCCTGAGAAATCCCCCCCACGCCCCCGAGGTGCGGGGACCGGCACAACTACAGCAGCGCTGCCGCCGGTGACAACCCGGTCAGCCCCACGCGGGTGGTGTGGTGATCAGGGCGGGCAGCCCCCCCACCCCCAGCAGAGGGGGTTCGGCCCCTGCCTTGCGTGCTCTTAGGCTTTGCCGTGGTGAGAGCGAGACAAAGAGCTCGGGGCGAGCCCGTCTCTTTCACCGACAGAGGTTGGTCCAGTACAACCTATCCCCTCACCCACCTTGTCTCTCTTATGAGGCTTGTTCGTGTGTTGGCCCCCGGGCAGGTCTAGCCTAGAAACGTCGGCTGACCTGCTTTAGGTCGACTTACAGCCCTCACCGTGATTACTGCAGTGGTTCGTGTCCATGCGACCCTCCTTTTGTCCCTGGTGCACATCCTCACCAGCAGCGCTTCTACTGACTTAACAGGGGCAGGGTGGGGGGCTGAGAGCCTGGGCTGTCAGCCCCCCACGCAGCTCCCCCATGGCCAGGAGCCCGGCTTGCTTGTCAGTTTCACGGCTCCTGCATGAATGACAGCCAACAGCGGATGTAAGTAACGCAGTGTCTACACAGACTACTAGTTGCCCTAACTACACCGACATAAGCCCTACACCTCTCGTGGAGTTATAATGTCAGTGTAGTAGGGCACTTATATCGGCGGGAGCAAGGCTGAACTGTGTACACTGACATAATTAGGTCAACATAAGCTGCCTTATGTTGACCTAACTCTGTAGTGTAGACCAAGCCTTAGGGTATGTCTACACTACCCGCCGGATCGGCGGGCAGCAATCGATCCAGCTGGGATCGATTTATCGTGTCTAGTCTAGATGCGATAAATCGACCCCTGAGTGCTCTCCCGTTGACTCCTGTACTCCACCGCCACGAGAGGCGCA